GAAAATTCAGGTAAAGGGAAGGAGATTTGAGACGATAGATGAGATTCAGGCAGAATCGCAGATGGGGCTTGACCGGCTGACAAAGAAAGATTTCCAGGGATGCTTCCAGGCTTGGCAGCGGCGCTGGGATCGTTGTGTTCACTCCCAGGGGAACTACTTCGAGGGTGATGGATGAATTTAATACCTGAGATAAATGTACGGGTTTTTATACGCGCAGTCTGGAAACCTTTCGATCGCACCTCGTACTTTCAATATGGTTAAAATAACCTATTCAAAATAATTTCTTTATATTTGCTTGCCCTCATGTACACTGAACACGGCCATTTAGCTAGTCCCTAGCGACACACACTTCGTGTCTCCATGATAAAACAGAGGGAGGCCATTGTTGTTACTGTTATTGAAATGAACAACACTTTCGTCCTAACAAGTAAACTCTGATTCGCTTTTGCCGCCATCTTATAGAAAAGACGTAACATTACAGTCCACTGAGGGGAAAACAAAAATACGACGGCGCAATTACAAGTCACAGCCGACCCATTACGCCTTCTGCTGGAATCAGTCTAATGTTTTTGCGATGGCGTGAGAATATGCGACGGGCCGTTAGGATTCACCTTGGATTGCTATTTGTTTGTTTATGACTGACTTGTAAAATCCTAAACCGGATAGTGACGTCACACTTTATTCATGAAGGCGGCGATAAGAAATATATACAAGTGTGGAAGGCTTACAGTTTGTGTGGTGCCATCTACTGCAATGATACGCGCTGTGTGTGTGTCGCGGCATCGCTCGGCTTCTGTTTCTGATTCAGGTACATCTGCACCGGCCACTTTACTGTCCCTGCTGCATGTTCTTGGACGCACCTATAACACGTTGAAGAACGTTTCTCTTGCTAATAAAGTTTCAGGGTTCTTTTTTCTCCTTAGAATAAGCCGTAACCAGTAAAATAACATGTGCTGCTACCTTATAAAGTAAGATACGTTCTAACCGTGGCTTCAGACTTTAATGACCAAGCCGTTCTGTGAGCAATGTGAGTGTTTCGTTGATAATAATGATGTGAGCTGTTTTTTCCATCGATATAGTAACCATGACAATATCGAGATGTTAAGTTGCCCTGTTTTGCCTCGAATTTAAATTACAGAAATTCATTTTACGAAATGAACGTAATTCTAGAATAGAAAATTCTTAAATGTTATTTCTTGTAAATACTGGCTAAACGAAATAGAGTAAAGCCTCTCTAAGTTGGACACTTGGGGTTTCCACGAAAATGTGTCCAACTTACAGAGGTGTCCAAGATAGAGGGAA